GAAGGGAGGGAAGCAGGTGGGGCAAAGAGAAGGGAGGAAAGCAAGTGGGACAGGGAGAAGGGAAGAAAGCAGGCGGCCTGGGGGAGAAGGGAGGGAAGCAGGTGGCACAGGGACTGCAGCAGGAAGCCCTATTGCAGGAATCTTCCTGCAATGGGCCTCTAGTCTAATATATAAAAGGCTAGGGTTGTAATTACTGATCACTACTGAAGGCTGATCAACCCGGAAGTCCTTCAGTCACACTGACTGCCCAGCTGCAGCCTGACAACCTAGCACTGACTGCCCAGGGGGCTGAGACCCAGAGAGAGAGGCAGGGTCTAATCCACAGCCTCAATGGCAGCTGTTGATCAGTACCTGCCTCTTTCTTTCTCTTCCTCTTTCTTTCTGAGCTTTGCCAGCAGCCTGACTTTTCTTTCTCTCCCAGCTTCTATGGAGGCTGCTATTAAGCCCCACCTCTCTAATCAGGCCCAGTGACAGGCCCAGAGATGCTGACTGGCACAGCACCCAACCAATCAGAACCAAATGTGGGTGCTGTGAAGAACCAATAGCTGTTAGGAGGCAGAGCTTTTGAAGCTGACTGGCATAGGAACTGACCAATCAACTAAATCTGGGTGCTGTGGGAAGCCAATGGCTGCCTAGGATGCAGAGCTTTTGACACTGGCATAGAAACCGACCAATCAGAACCAAATTGGCCAGCAGAGGAGGGCAGTTGGGGGTGAGATCAGGCCTGCAGGGGAGGGCAGTTGGGGGCAACCAGGCCAGCAGGGAAGGGGAGTTAGGAGTGACCAGGCTGCAGGCAGAGGCAGTTAGGGGCAATTAGGAAGGCAGGCAGGTGAGCAGTTAGGAGCCAGTGGTCCCAAGGAGACCCTAATTGGAAAGGGTGCAAGCTGAGCTGAGGGAACGCCCCCTCCTTGCATGAATTTTGTACACTGGGCCTCTAGTTAGATATAATAAATAAATTTGGCAAAATAGTAGGATACAAAATTAATATCCCTGAAAACAATGGCATTTCTATACGCCAATAATAAACTATCAGAAGGAGAAGCTAAGACAGCAATTCCATTTACTACTGCAACAACAACAAAAATAAGGCACTTCGTAATATAATCAAGGGGGTAAAATATTTATATTTAGAAATCTATAGGACATTGAAGAAAGAAAACAGAGGAAGATACAAATAGGGGGAAGCATATACTGTGTTCACTGATTAGAAGAATTAACATAATTAAAATGTCCATGCTAATCAAAGAAATCCATAGATTCAACATAATTCCTATTAAAATATTAATGGTATATTTCACAGATCTAGAGAAAATATTCCAAACATTTATATGGAACCAAAAAAGAATCCAAATAGCCTCAGCTATCTAAAGAACAAAATTGGAGGTATCACAATATTGAATATCAAAGCATACTATAAGACCAATGTAATCAAAACAGCCTGGTACTAGCATCTGAATAGGTATATACTAGTAAATAAGCAGAAGTTTTTGGGGATACACCTTTGTTCTGCATGCTTGGTGTTTACCTTCAGTCAATATACCAAATAATTTGATTTGGGGATGAAGAAGAGTCACCTTACCTTTGTGGCAGTTGACATTGCTTTTTGGATCCTCTAGTTCACAGGGAGAGTTGGTAAAGTGGTAACTATTTTTGGAAGATATATAATTGCACTTTGGAGTAAAAAGAGGAGCAGGAAGACAGAAATGCAAATTCTGTCATAGCCCCAGATCTGTATTAACTGGTAGACTAAAAGAATATCCCATTGGTCAAGCTACAGAAGGCATAGAGCATGAACAGCTCTATTAAGACAGTATGGTGACAGGAAAAAACATGACTTTGGGTGGTTGGCACATGGTACAATATACAGATCTTGTAACATAGAAACCCTACCTGAAACCTATACTGAGTGACCAGATTATTATAACCACCTGACATTTGTAAGCAAATTAGCCGTATACTGCATCATATGGGATATGGAAGCCAAAGGCCTATTGAACACCTTTGCTGTCTGCAGTTAACAAAATAAAACATCCCCAATTTGCAAAGGAACACAAGGATTGGACAGTTGAGCATTAGAAAAGTCATGCGATTCAATGAATCACATTCCCAGTTGCATCAGTCAGATGGAAGAGTGAGAATTTGGTGGAAACAGCATGAAAGCGTGTACCCCACATGCATGAGTACAACCCTTCAAGCTTGTGGGGGCAGTGTTATGGTTTGGGGCATGTTTTCCTTGCATGATTTTGGCCCTTTAATTTGTATGGAACAACATCTAAATAGCACAACATACCTAAGTATTGTTGCTGATCAAGTTCATCCTATCATGTTGATGTGTATTCCAATGAAGATGGCTTCTTCCAACAAGACAAAGCACCATTCCCCAGTGCTCATATTGTGAAGGAGTGGTTTCAAGAACATGAGGGAGACTTTACCTTGCTTAGGTAGCCCCCACAATCATCAGATCTCAATCTAATTGAGCATTTATGGGACAAAGTTAAAAGAGCCATCAGGCAGCTGGTTCCACAACCATCAAATCTCACAGAACTGGACAGTGCTATTCATCAGGCATGGTGCCAGATTCCTCACATCACCTTTCAATATCTCGTGGAGTCAATGCCAGAAGAATCACCACAGTATTAAAGGCAAAAGGTGGCCCAACAAAGTATTGATGGGGTGGTCATAATAATCTGTCCACTCAGATTATTGTATATGTTTATGTTGTATTTATATGTTCATGTTGACCTAATGTCACCTCAATATATTTAATAAATCTTTTTTTGAAAGAAAATAAAGACAGTATGATACTAGGACCTAGAAGGTCCATAGAACTTTTAAGAATGTTGAAGCAAAAATTGAAACTAAAATGATACTTAACCTTTTTCATCCTCAAAGTTGGTTTTCTAACTGCATAGATGAATGAACAGAAAACAGAAGCCCATGAGAACCTAGATGCCTTTTTTAAATTAAATATTTATTTCTAATGCATTTATGAATTATAATAAAGGTCACTATATACATAAAAATAAGTTGAAAAGAACAAAGAGCCCATAAATAAAGCCACGCCTTTATGATCAATTAACATTTAACAAAGGAGGCAATAGCATACAATGAAGTGAAGACAGTCTCTTTAATAAATGGTGTTGGGAATATTGGACAGGTACATCCAAAATGTTGAAACTAGACCACCAACTTACACCATACACAAGAATAAACTCAAAATTGATAAGAGACTTAAATGTAAGTAACAAAACTATAAAATTCTAATAGAAAATAGAAGCAGTAAAGTCTAAGACATCTCATAGCAATTTCATTTGCTGATATATCTCCTAGGACAATAGGAACAAAGACAAAAGTAAACAAATGGGACTACACCAAACTATATAAAAACTTCTGCACAGAAAAAGAATCATCAACTCCAGAATGGGGTGTGCAAAAGGTGGCTGCACTCTTGCATTGTGTTTCTCTTCCTCACCTTTCTTCTCTCTCCAAAAATTAATAAAATTGCCCATTTGGCATGACTAAGTCATTGAGCTTTGACCTATGAACTAGGTGGTCACGGGATAATTTCAGGTCAGAGTACATTCCTGAGTTGCCAGCTCAAACCCAGTATGGGGTGTGAGGGAGGCAGCCAGTCATTGATTCTCCCTCATCATTGGTGCTTCTATCTCTCCCTTCCTTTCTGCAGTTAATAAATATATATTTAAAAAATAAAAATAAATCATCAACAAAATGAAAATGGAACCCAATGATACATCTGATAAGGGGTTAATTTTCAAAATATATAGAGAGAAATTATACAACTCAACAAGGAGGAAGACAATTCAATTAAAAAATATACAAAAGATCTGAATAAACATTTCTCCAAAGAAGACATACAGATGGTCAATAGCCATATGAAAAAATGCTCAACATCACTAATCACTAGAGATGCAAATTAAAATCACACCTTCCAGAATGTCTACCATCAATAAATCAATAAACAATAAGTGCTAGTGAGGATGTGGAGAAAAGGAAACCTAGTGCACTGTTGGTGGAGATACAGACTGGTGCAGTCACTGAGAAAAACAGTATAAAGTTTCCTCAAAAATTTAAAAATAGGACTGCCTTTTGACTCAATAATTCTACTTCTGGGAATATATCCTAGAATTCCAAAACACCAATCAGAAAGAATCTATATACCCCTATGTTCATTACAGAATTATTTACAATAGCCAAGATCTGGAAACAGCCCACGTACCCATCAGTAGATTAATGGGGAAAAAATAAACAAACTGTAGTATAATACATTTACACAATGGGATGGTAGTTGGCTGTAAAAATGAAGAAATTCTTACCCTTTGTGATTGCATGGATTGTCCTGAAGATTATATGCTAAGCAAAAGAGGCCAATCAGAGAAAGATAAATACCATATGATCTCACTTATATGTGGAATCCAATGAACAAAATAAACTGACAAAATAGAACTAAAGGCATGGATACATGAAACAGAGTGACAGATGTCAGAGGGGAGGTCAGTAGGGACAGTGTATGAAAGAAGGTGAAGAGATTAGCCAAAAAACATATATACATAACCTATGGACACAGATAACAGTGTGATGAAGGCTAGAGGAGGGAAAGGGGCTGGTGGAGGTGGGAAAAAGAGACAATATAGAAGTCATGTAATAGTGAAAACAATTTAAAAAAAAACACTATTAGAATCAGGTTAGAAAGTCTCAGGAGTCAACCCGAAGAGCCTTGTATTGGCCAAAATTGGTATAATCTGGGGATCAATGTAATGGACTGATCAAGTAAAAAAAAAAAAAAATGTTTAAATTCATGAGCTTATTTACAATACTGAATACAAAACTGATGGTCACTGTAGGATTCTAGGATTCTGAATGAGGACTCTCATAAACAGAAAGCCAGAAAGGTAAGCAAATTCTCACATGGCCTTAAAATTTTGTTTTAAATATTTCTTAAAAAGAACAGTGACAGGAAGGTAAGAAGAACATAAACTCACCTGGGCCATGGCTTTCAGTATTGCAGATTAACAGTCTGCTTCAAGGCCATTCTCTTAAAAAAGGATAGTGTTCTAAGAGGGCAGGTCTGAGGAAGCAAAGAAATGCTCTATAAAAATATGGGCCTTACAGCTCTCAGACTAACCAAGTAAAACTATCTCCATTTGTCTTGGTCTTCTAAGTCTAGCTAGTGGGATAAATCTTACCCCTTCTTCAACCCCATAAACCCCAGGCTTTAACTGCAGCAAGACAGATCCTAGCTAGTAGATTAAAAAAAAAAAAATACAGACTAAGATTCCCTTTTTTCACCCAAGCAACCCAGGTTCCTGCCTCAACAGTGTTATTCTAGTAGTGATATTGCTCTGAAACCAAGAGAGAGCTTCCAAGACCTGCCCTGAGCAAATTCCTCTTCTGAAGTCCTCAGGTTCCAAGCAAGATTCACCCAAATGGTGCCCTCTGGCCAATAACACAGTACCCTCTGAACAAAACTAAAGATTCCTAATCAAGTCTTCTCATTTTCCAAGCCCAAGAAAGTCAGTCAACTTTCCCCAGCACACACCCATGCCCACGTCTACATAGAAGCATTCCTCATTCCTAAACTAGCTTTTTTTTGTAAAAAATAAAATGAAAATAAAAGGATTTTATCTTTGCTATGAATTTTTGTCACACAAAACAGTCATAATGTCAACTCTTCTACTTTTTGAGTAAAATCTTTCTTACCTATAACATATTTATATAAATTTCATTTTTTATAACTTTAATGCTTTCATTTATTACATGTAAATCTTTAATCAATTATTTTATTTTGGCATGATATTATTTGATGAAAGATTATAATATAAGATTATCAATTATAATTGTGTTCTCCTGTAATATATGTTATAAATTCTACTTAAATTTCTTCCAAAAGGGGGCTACCCAAGTGTACAAAGTCTCATGTGAATATTTTCATGACACTTAAAATACACTATTATTTTACATTCTAATTAAGAAATAAACTATATAACGATATTGCCTCACTTCAGATATGTTGACATAAGAAACAAAAGTGAGCATTAGTACAGATAATGTATCATATATGATTCATTTTTTGATTTCTAAGTAGTTCTATTTTGATTCAGCAATCTGTTTATTCTTTTGCCAGTATCATGTTCTCTATTATAATTAAAAAAATTTTTTTTGAAAAATGTTTTAATGTCTTAATAAAAGATCCCTCCACACATACTTATTAGAATAGCCCAAATCCAGAACACTGACAATATTATATGCTGGAAAGAAGCGACAGGAACTCTCATTCATTGCTGGTGAGAATGCAAAATGGTAGTGACCTTGGAAGGCAGTTTGGCAGCTTCTTACAAAACTAAACATATTCCTACAATATGATCCAGTAATAATGCTCCTTGATATTTTCCCAAAAGAGTTCAGTAATTATGTTACACAAACACTCGTGCACTGATGTTGACAGCAGTTTTATTCATAATTGCCAAAACTTGGGAATAACCCAAATAAGTCTCAGTGAATGATTAAATAAGCTGTGGTACACAAAGGCAATAAAATGTTATTCAGTTTTAAAGAAGAAATGCACTATGGAGCAATGAAAAGGCATATAATTAGGTGAAAGGAGCCAACATAAAAAAAGACAGCCCCAGCAGGTTTTGCTCAGTGGATAGAGTTTGATGCCAATCAAGGGCACGTGCCTAGGTTGTAGGCTCTATCCCCGACCCTGGTCAGGGGTGTGTGCAGGAGGCAACCAATTGATGTGTCTCTCTCACATTCATGTTTCTGTCTCTCTGTCTCTCCCTCTCCCTTCCTCTCTCTCTAAAAATCAATGGAAAAATATCCTCGGGTAAGGATTAACAACAAGAACAAAAAAAGATATACTATATAATTCCACCTATATGACATTCTGGAAAGGCAAAAATATGAAGAAAATAAAATGATCAGTGATTGCTAGGGGTTTGGAGAGAGGAATAAAGGAAAAAAAGAATAGGTGACTTTTTGGAGCACTTAAACTATTCTGTATAATACTAAATGATAAGATAAATGTCATTATTCTTTTGTCCAACACAACAGACTGTACAACATCAAGATTGAGCCCTAAAGTGAACTATGGAATTTGGGTATTGATGTGCCAAGTGTAGTTTCATCGGTTGTAGCAAATGTACCAAATGCATGGGGCAAGAGGTGTGGGTGGAAACTCTGTTCATTCCTCTCGAGTCTGTCAATCTAAACCACTCTAAAAAAACAATAAAGTTTTTTGTTTTTTTTAAGGCTCTGGCTCTTAAGCCTGAGTGTCTATTTTCAAAAAAAATTAATAACTCAAAGTTTCCACATAAACATGGATCAATTATTAATTACACTCATATTTTTACCGAGAGTGCATAATATGAATAGAGTAATATAAGGACTTCTGAAATCTTTATGGTGCTGAGTCTTGATTTCTTAGAACACAGAATGCCTTTCTATTTACTCAAGTTAATGTTTGTGTCTTTCAGGAATATTTCTTACATATCATGCATAATTCTTATTCAGATTATTCCTAGGTGCCTTCTACTACTTTTTTTTTATTATTAAAATATATTTTTTATTGATTTTTTACAGAGAGGAAGGGAGAGAGATAGAGAGCCAGAAATGTCGATGAGAGAGAAACATTGATCAGCCGCCTCCTCCGCATCTCCTACCGGGGATGTGCCTGCAGCCAGTGTACATGCCCTTGACCGGAATAGAACCCGGGACCTTTCAGTCCACAGACCGACGCTCTACTACTGAGCCAAACCGGTTTCGGCGCCTTCTACTACTTTAAAAGGGGTCTTTTCCTGGACCCTGCCAGAGCTCCTGCTACGAGCAATGGAAATTGTTGCAAAAAAAGGTTTACTGAAGATCAAATAACAAGAGATCCCAATATGGCAGCAGTGTAGATGGAAGCTACACTCACCAGCTTTCAGCCCCAAATGTGATTTATGGCTAAATTATAGAGCAATCAACCTAAATAACTACCTGAAGGCTAGCTGAATTGAATAGTATAAACAACAAATCACAGCAGAAGCCATATAAAGATGGTAAAAAGGGCAGAAAGGGCTAGCCACCAAAACCAGGTGCAGTGACTGAGAAGCCTGAGTGATATTGTGGCTACAAAACTCCATTCCCTGGGAGTGTGGGGTTTCTACCCAGAGCAACAGAGATAGGAAGAAGAGCCCACAACATGTGGTGGTGGAGTCAGTGCAGATACATGCCACTTGGGAGACTTGGACCTCACTTTTCCATTATGATAAAAACTCTCAGTAAAGTAGGAATAGAGAGATCATACCTCAGCATAATAAAGACCATATATGCCAAACATACTCAGTGGGCAAAAACTAAAAGCATTTTCCTAAAGATCAGGAACAAGACAAAGGTGTTTGCTTTCACCACTTTTATTCAACACTAGAGGCACGATGCAAGAAATTTGTGCATGGTTGCAGTCCCTAGGCCTTGGCCGGTGATTGAAGCGTAAACATTTGGTTGGAAGGGTAGGTCCCAGCTGACCCCATGCGCTCCCCTACACCTGAGTCATTGGGCCCTACCCAGCTCCCTCAGCGCCTAGGAGCCAGGTGGTGTCCCTCTCACCCCCACTGGTCACCATCTGTGGGGCAATTGAGACCAGCTCGTAACCGCCTTGGCCTGGCGCCACCTGCTCAACTGCTCCACCATCCTGACATGATCCTGCTCTCGTCAGGGTCCATTGGGGCTGGCAGTGCCTCCACTGCTGCCTGCCATGTTCTGCATCACCCCCCGGTGGTCGACACATGTCATAGCAAGCGGTTGAACTCCCAGTCAAGGGACAATTTGCATACTAGGCTTTTATTATATATAATAGTACTGGAAGTCCTAGCCACAATTATCAAACAGGAAGAAATAAAAGGCATCCAAATTGAAAGAAAAAAGTAAAACTGTTATTATTGGCAGATGACACAATATTGTACATAGAAACCTTACAAAGCCCAACAAAAAACTACTATATCTAATAAGTGAATTCAGCAAATAGCAGGACATAAAATTAAAATCTAGAAATCAGTGGCATTTTTATACACTAAGAATGAACTATCAGAAAGAGGAACTTAAAAAAATCCCAGTAACCATTGCAACAACAAAAATTTAGGTACCTCAGAATAAACTTAACCAAGGAGGTAAAAGACCTATACTTGGAAAACTATAAATTGAAAAAAGAAATAAATGCAGATATAAACAAGTGGAAGTATATACTATGTTTGTGGATTGGGAGAATTAACATCATTAAAATGTCCATATTAACCAAAGCAATCTATAGATTCAACACAAATCCTATTTTTTACAATATGACATATTTCAAAGATCTAGAACAATATTCCAAAAATTTATATGGAACCAAAAAAGACCCCGAATAGCCTCATCAATTTTGAGAAAGAAGAACAAAGTTGCAAGAATCATAATAACTGATATCAAACTGTACTGTCAGGTCACTGTAATCAAAAGACTTTGGAATAGCCAAATAATTATTGGGAAAAAAGAACAAAGTTGTAGGTATCATGCTACCCGGTATCAAATTATACTATAAGGTGATAGTAATCACAACAGCATGGTACTTGCATAAAAACGGAAAACATAGATGAATGAAACAGAATAGATGACCCAGGAAAAAAACCCATGTCTATATAGTCAACCTATCATGAAGAAGGCAAGAATATGCAAAAAGATAAAGCCAGTTTCTTCCATAAATGGTGTTGGAGACATTGGATAAATACATGTGAAAAATAAAACTAAACTCAAAATGACTTAAAGACTTAAATGTAAGACAGACAGTTGTAAAACTCCTAGAAGAAAAAATTGAAAGTAAACTCTGATATTGTTATATTGTTTTTAAAAACAATTCTTTATTGTTGAAAATATTACATATGTCCATTTTTCTCTACCATTGACATCCAACAGCCCAACCCTGTCCTGACCCAAGGCCTTCAGCACCCTATTGTTTGTGTCCATGGGTTATGCATATATGCATACAAGGTCTTTGATTAATTACCTCCCACCCACCCTCCCCCACCTTTCTTCTAAGATTCTACCCTCTCTTCCAAG